TGGGACAACCCCTACCATGGGGTTCTTAATGTTAGATTACTACAATGTGATGCCATGTGTATTGTGTAAAATTGGTGCATTGAAGGTGAAAAAAATTGAAAATGCATTACATTACATCCCTCGGTCACCTTCAACTAGTCTTAAAAGGGAAAGTTCGCCCCAAAGATGAACATTCTGTCATCATTTAATCATTTAAGGTTTCATGTTGTTCCTAACCTGTATGCCTTAATTAAAGAACTATTTTTGCCTATGCAATTAAAGTCACTGGGGTCCAAAACAATACTGGACCCCAATTACTTTCAAACGTGCGGACTAAACACCATTAAAGGAATAGTTCACCCAAAAATCACCATTTACTCACCCTCAAGTTGTTACAAACCTTTATGGATTTCTTTTTTCTGCTGAGCACAAAAGAAGATATTTTAAAGAATGTCGGTAACCAAAAAGTTGACTTCCATAGTATGAAAGTCAATGGGGTCCATAAACTGTTTGGTTACCCATATTTACCCAAAATACCTTATTTTGTGTTCAGCAGAAGAAAGAAATTTGGGGGTGAACTATCCCTTTAAATAATTTTTCAAAATATCTTCTGTTGTGTTCTACACAAATGCAAACAGGTTTAGAATGACACGAGGGTGAGTAAATGATGACAGCATGTTCATTTAATAACATAACACCGCACCAGTCCAATGCGATTTACATAGTATTTAATCAAATCTCCCCGTAAACCAGTCAAAATGGAGCCCAAAAACATGTAATAATGAATTGCAGAGGCTCTTTATGCAAGACAACGACAGGCGGCGAGCAGCCGCAAGTGTTGTACCCTAGCTAAATCTCTTTCTCTGGCCCAATGGAGCCCCTCCATCAGCTCAACGTGCCAGATATCGCAACAGACATCCCCCTCAGGTGCAATAATGTCACAGTCCATTAATCTTCTCAAACTTCAGGCCCTGATCCTGGGAGCCCCGTCCATGCTAATCCCTTATTAATGTGGCAAATGAACCTGTGGAGAAAGAACTACTCCCTCCCGGCCCTTCACCATCACAATGCAGAGTCTATTACCGCCTTCCCCCGTACCGTCTCGAGTCTCTACTGTTTGCATTAGGATGTCCATTCATTGAAGCATAAAGCCACTCGAGAGAGCTTGAACACACACACACACACACACAGCTTCATTCCACACATTATTCGCTCTGTGCCCTCTCTAGTAACCTTTGTCTAGCACACATATGGCGGAGCGTGAGCCCGATGCATGCGTAATCTCTTAAGACTCAATGTTGCAATTCAAGTCAGCAACCAGACACTTTTGTTCCATTTTGGTTTTGTTTTAGCTTGTTGAGACTCCCATGATAGGCGATGCGTACAGATTCCTTCTATTATGTGACAGTGGGAAAAACCTGCCTGCGCTCTGCTTTGCCAGATTAGAGGACAGCTCAGTAACAGAGGAAACAGTGCATGCGAGACAATCATCTGGTCTCTAAAAACAGTCCCGCTGAATCTCTCGGGTCTGATTGCTTCCTAATCCAAACAGAATAACCACATCACTTCGGAATAATTGCAAGTCATTATTGCTAGCACTCACAGGCAGAGCTGTTAGCCTGCTCTTAGAGCGTGGATACATATAAATGAGGCTTTCTAAGAATCTATATTTCTGGACAAAGATCAGATAAGACATCTGAATCTGATAGATGTGGTATAAGTGATTTTTTCACTTTAAAAATCTGAACAAATGCTTCTACAATCTCTATATACGAGTATGAGCAGAGAGACAGTTCTCTAGAATGAAGCACAAAATCTCATATAAATGCCTGTATGACTTCGGTTTGCTATGAGCAGTCACTTCCCAGTTTAATTTCTCCAACTGAGTTTATTAATCAGGCTTGTTGAGGAGTTTTCCCGCAGAGCGGAGTCTTGCACACTATGCATGCACGCTTAATCAATAACCTAAATGTTTCATGCACTCCGTAATAGACTTTTTAATGCGCCTCCATCCTGAGAAGCTATTGAACCGTGATGTGCGTGTGCGTGTTTGCCCCATGCAATAAAAAAAAAAACTACAAATGAGAAATAAATGGCCTACTCAGATTATTTTGCAATAAATGCTGTTCATCAATGAGTTCTTTGGAAGGTGAGAAATTTGTATCTGTAATACTTTGTATTTGTAATATATGATTGAATTTCACTCCGAATAACACAATAAAGTGACAGACAAATGGGCAAGGAATGATACGCATTGATTCCTGGATACAAAGTGAAAATTTCCCTACAATACTTATCATTATCAGCAGTGGCATAGAAACGATTGAAAAGTTGACATTTTATTGCACGTATAAATCATTTTAGCACATGTACTGTTGATTAATTAATTATGTGACTTGACAAGTTCTTATAGCGCAAAAAGTAGAGCAGGGTGCTAACAAGGTCATGCGTTTAATTCCAAGGGAACGCAAGAACTGACAAAATGTAAGCTTTGAATGCAATGTAAGTTGCTTAGGATAAATCCATTAACGTTTGCCCAATGGTCTTATACCTGAATTGCTTCTGCTTGGTCTTAAAGGGATAGTTCAGCCCAAAAGGAAAATTATGTTATAATATATGTTTCTTCTGTGGTGCATAAAATAAGACATTTTGAAGAATGTTGGGTTCCAAAAAAACATTGGACTTACATACTGGTTTAAAATGACATGAGGGTGAGTAAATGATGACAGATTTTTTATTTTGGACTGAACTATCCCTTTAAAGCTGTAGTTTTACATGGCCACAAACAGTTTGTTTTTTTCATTGCACTGTGGCCAAGCAAAACAAAAATGTTGGGATTTTTTGCACCCCTGACTATCAGACAAGTTTGCATATGCTCATTGTTGTTTGCATTGCTTCAGTTCAGTCGGTGAACAGAAAGGCCAAGTGTTAATTGCCCTATGGCTGACAGCAGCACCCGGTTTTGGGTGCCATAATAAGCTCGCCACTGATGTGCCTCTAGCTGTGCTAACTAGCTCTGTATGGAGGCTGCCCCAGTATCTGAGCTTTAGAAAGGAAATGCACAGTCAATGGCCTTTAAAGGATCGAGACAGAAACACAAAGGGCAACCCCTGTTCAAAAACCGACCCCTCTGGACTAAGCGAACAGTGGATTTCACAGTATGTACAATTCCTCAATAGCGTTGACAGGCATCTGTCTCTGCGCTTACAGTGGCAGCTATTGTTTTGGGTCACTGAGTCATTCGTAAAAGGCATGTACAGCACGACAGCATGGTTTCCCAATAGGACAGTAGATGCAGAGGCCACTCTCTTGGCCTGGATTGCAGTTCATTATGTAATCTGTCGTTCTACATTGGTGTACTCCTTTCTTGCTCCCTACAATGCAGTTCCGAGACTGCAATGCAATGCAATGAATTTGCCTTGCATATCCAAAATCTCAATGAAAACCTCTTGAAATGTTTAATTTAGTTGGATTCTCTTAAGGGGAATGGGATGAGTTGCGCTGTAACCTATAGGAGGGTCATATCCTGTGTGGCCTGCTCCGATGCATGTTCGTGATCTGGACCACCCACACAAGAGCAAGCCAACCCTGACGCCCCCATCTTCCAGACTCGCATCCGCCCGGAAAACAATATTAGACAAGCTTTTGTTTGTACAGCTTTCACGCTTAAGGATATTATAAACAATCCTCCGCACACTCAATCTGTAATATGCAGAGTAGTGTGTGTTTACTTTAGCTACACTTTGTGGACAAAATTATCCCCTGAAGTGAGCTAAATCTGACAAAACTTCCCTTTGGGGACTTCCAGGGATGTCCTCAATTGGAAAAGTGATTCACACAAACAAAACAATGTTTTGAGACAGGCTTGGTCTGTAGTTATTGTAAATAACCCTTTGTTAATTTCATCATAACTAAACAAATAAAAAACAATAACAACCATGGTTGGTCGGTCCTCATGTCCTCATCTATCTATCTATCTATCTATCTATCTATCTATCTATCTATCTATCTATCTATCTATCTATCTATCTATCTATCTATCTATCTATCTATCTATCTCAATGTGTTTGGTCTTCTTTTCTATTTCTATTTTCCTTTGGGCATAGCCTATCTTGTCCTCAATTGGAGTACATCCATAAAAGAACTTTCATTTCATGAAAAAAATCGCATTTGTTTTTAACTTTAAAAACACAGAATTGTCCACAGAGATGAGCTTATTCTGACTCCTCAATTATGAAAACAGCCATAAATAAACAAAAAATAATTATTAATTGTATTATTTTAAAAACACAAAATGGTTTTAGGTGTATGGGTAAGTTTCGGGGTAGTCTGTAGTAATAATTAGCACCATAATTAGCTATCTCAAAAACCTTCTGTTTTTTAAGGCTAAGTAAACAAGCGTGTATGTATTTATTCTCCAACGGTCAGACCTTATCTTATATCTGTAACAGCCATAACCAATCTGTTGTGTATTCGGTCCATCATTAGACATGAGCTGTTTACTGAGAGATGCTCCCATACACGCACACACACGCAGACAAAAGGGCAAGGGAAAGACAAGGAGACAGAGAGAGACGAAAAGTAAGCGAGAGATAGAGAGAGGGAGTGAATGAGAGAGAGAGAGAGAGAGAGAGAGAGAGAGAGAGAGAGAGAGAGAGAGAGAGAGAGAGAGAGAGAGAGAGAGAGAGAGAGAGAGAGAGAGAGAGAGAGAGAGAGAGAGAGAGAGAGAGAGAGTAAGAGAGAGAACGAGTAACTGCCCCCATTTCTTCCCTATGCATTACAGACACTGCATGTTGGCCCATAGCCAGAATATTCCATACAGAACAACAGTGCCACCTAAAGGTAATATTCCCCTCCCTCCCTCCCTCCCACCCACCCCTCCCTTAACTCTCTCCCTCATCAACTGGGTTTCAAACTATGAGATGCTGTGCTTGGCAACTCGCTTTTGCGATTTTTAGCGCTTTATACAGTAGAACTGTCTTTGAGAAATATGCATATATAGCAACCCAAAGAGAATACTGTTCTATACTGAAGGTCTGTGACAGTTTATTGGTGTAGAATATTGAAACCATTGGATTTAATGAACCAGGATATAATGTTAAATGTTGTGTGTGCGCATTTTTAGATTAGTAGATTAACTGCAGTCCAGGATTAATTAAGAAACTCGGAATCGTAGAGGATGCTAATTAACAAATGCAGAAAAATGGTGATCAAAGTAGACAGGCGAGAAAAAAATGTTTCTTTCACAAACTCTCAGTGCATTGCATCTTTGAACCATGACAAAGCAGTGAAATTAAACTGAATCTAGCCTCGTAGGAGACGTTGGATTCTTTTCGAATCTCACCCATTAAACCAATTGCTTGTCCAGGACTTGTTTCAAGTAGAGGTTTATAAATTAAAAAAGAAGAAAAAAGGAGGGGAAAAAAACACACAAAAATGCATGTGGTAAGATGATGACAATAGCATTCGCCTGGATCAGCTAGTTTCATATAAAACACATACAATATTTACGTCTTTTTTGGTCATTTGAGAACATCTACGGGGGGGCTTTTTGAAATCTACATTCTACATAGTGCATCACAGATGTATCACTCAGAGCAAGTTAACTACCACAGGCACTTCAGTACTGAGCAGGGCAGTTATAAGCAGTACTTATAGACCAGTAAAAGTGTTCTTTTACCTGTCTGGTGTGCAAAGGTGCCCCCTTTGACTTGAAGCCTCCTTGTGAACTGCATTCTGAGGCACTGAAGTGATCAGAGCTGGTGGAGGAACGTTTGGAAAGCGTGTCACAGCCCCCCACAAAGGTATTGTCCAGTGGCAGCTCCTGGATGACGTGATGCTTTTTCACAGACACCGGAGTGTCAGCTTTGAGGTGGAAGGCCGACTGGGGTGAAGCGGACTTGTAGTGCCGGGCCAAGTCTGGGCTGCTGGGTTTGAAGGTGGTAGTAGGGGTGGCATTCCAATCAAAGCGTCCAATCCCGGGCTCCTCGAGCTCAGCCGGGAGACTGATGGTTCCATTTATGGGTTCGTGGGCAGGGTCGTCGGGTTTGTTCTCCTCGATGGTGACAAAGTTCAAGAGGGAGCTCTTTGGCGACTTCCTCTTTTTGCGCTTCTTCTTCTTGTTTTGCTTGTTCTCCTGGTTGGGGGACATCCACTCAGCACCCTGCTTCTTTCTCTGAGCGGCCTTGAACTGTGAGGCGTGCCGGCAGCGCACCAGAACCGTTATGAAGATGACCACAATCACTACCATAGCGCCTGTCACGATGGCAATAATGGTTTTCAGGTTGTCAACATTCTGATAAGTCTCTCTGCTCTCACCAATGTTTCTATCCAGCGGAGTTTCCATTTTTCGTCGGATGAGGTCATGTATGTACGAGGAATTTCCAACTGTGTCGTTCACGTACAGGAAAACGAGGACAAGGGTGTGCAGGGACTTTGGATAGCCAAGATCACTGATGTTGACCACTAGCCTGTGGAGGCCAAGGTCTGTAGGTGAGGGTTTCTGCTCTAATGTGATGTTTCCCGTTACGGGGTCAATTCTGAAAAGACCTTCTCTTTTGCAACTAACAATAGTGTACTTGAGTTCTGCATTCATACCTGTATCACCATCTACTGCAAACACCTCGGCCACAACCGACCCTGGAATCGCAGACACTGGCACTAGTTTAAAAGAGGTGTTTGATGGTGGGTAAATGACGATCGGGGTGTTATCATTGACATCAATGACATTGATGGTCACCTTGGCAGCTGATGAACACGGAGGGCTTCCATTGTCCACGGCTCTGACGTCAAAGGTGTAGGAACTTTGCTGCTCTCGGTCAAAGGAAACATTGGACTTTATGACTCCAGAATCTGGGTCAAGGATGAAGTTCTCATTATCGTTGAGGATTGAGAGTCTCACCACTGCATTCTCACCAGCATCTGCATCTGTGACTGTGATTACTCCAACTGTACTATATTTAGGCAGATTCTCTGACACAAAGAATTGAAAGTGGTTGTGTGTAAATTTAGGGCTATTGTCATTCTCGTCCAGAATGGTCACAATGATTGCAGCTTGACTCTGCAGAGCCCTGGTGCCATTGTCTCTAGCGGTGACCGTAAAGAGGAACCGCTCTTGTTCCTCCCTATCAAACACCCTGGATGCAGTTAGCACTCCAGTTTTGCGGTCGAGATCAAAGAATGATGCGTTGGGTCCAAGCTGGTAGACAATCTCTGCATTCCGTCCGCTATCCTCATCTGTGGCGCTGATGGTTGTCAGGAACATGTCACGCTGGTTGTTCTCCATGACTGCCAGCTCGATGACAGGCTGGGTAAAAATGGGCGGATTGTCGTTCTCATCTTCCAGCCGTACTCTAACCAGGGCAGTCTGGTTCAAACTAGGTTTTCCAGAGTCAGATGCCACAATCTTGAAGATGTACTCCTTGGTTCCTTCATAATCGAGCAGTGCAGATGTTTCTAACAGATACTGGTTATCATAAACTGCTTTGAGGTGAAAAGGAACATCTTTTTCAATGAAGCAAATCACCTTGCCGTTGACATCTGTGTCTTTGTCCGATACAGTTATGAGGGCAATCTTAGTGTTTATTGGATCTTTTTCAGAGAGCATTACAGTACCATTAATTGGACTGATGATGTATCTCAGGTCGATGTTCGGAGCATTGTCGTTAACATCGGTCACATTGATAGTTATGGTGGCTCTCGCTGGACTTGAGCTTCCATCGCTGGCTAGTACTGTGAGTTTATGAATGGCAGTCTCCTCTCTATCAAGCGGCCTTTGAACTGTTATGAGCCCAGTGGTGGAGTTCAGAGCAAATAGTCTCCGTGTCGCTGGAGACACCTGGGTACCAAACATGTATTTTATTTCTGCATTGGCCCCCACATCTGCATCGGTGGCTTGCAGCTGAACTACAGATGTCCCAACGGGAGAGTTTTCTGGGATGTGGACCTCAATTTGGCTCTCTTTAAAGACGGGCCGGTTATCGTTAACATCAGTGACAGTCACCTGTAGAATGGCAGTGCTGGATTTCTGTGGGTTCCCCCCATCCTCCACTTTTACTTTCATCACATAAGTATCTTTCAGCTCTCTGTCTAAATTCTGTTGAACGATAAGCTGAGGCCATTTCTCTCCCTCTGGTGTCTCCACAATATCCAAACCGAAGGCACTCTGCCCGTTCAACAGCTCGTATTTGTGTACGCTGTTGGGTCCGGTATCTGGATCAGTGGCAGAAGGAATAGCAAAGCGGCTGTTGATGAGTGTGTTTTCTGGAATTGAAATGTTGATCACAGGAGAGGGGAACATGGGGGCGTTGTCATTGGTGTCTTTGACAATTATCTTAATTTTGATTAATCTGAAATAATCATTGGGTAAAATGACCACCTCAATTTCAAAGGAGCACTCGCTGTCTTCAAAAGAGGGGCCAGGACAGAGTTTCTCCCTGTCTATACGGTTGGAGGTGGTAAAAATCTCTCCTGTATTGCTCATCACCCGGAGTAGCGGGGTGTCACCTGCTTTAGAAACAAGCCGGTAAACCAAATTGCTGCTAGCCCCGGTGGCAGAGTACATATGGGAGATGTTCAAGTCCTTTGGTATGTTTCCAATAAGAACATTCTCCTGTAGCTCTTCTCGAATAGGGTAAATGAGCTCTTGGGCAATGGTTGGATCTAACCAGAAACAAGCAACTAATGTTGCCAACAAGAAAAAATCCCTTAAATCCATGACAGCAGTTCACGCGTGTTCCCGCTGCTTTAATTCAAACAGTTGTCTCCATATGGTGTTGTCAGAGCCAAGGTTTCACAGAGCCTTACATTTGTAGATAAAGAGCAGCCAAACACGACCCTACAACACACAACATTATAATACGTTACAATGAATCCCATAATATTCAACAGTGAAAACAAATGGTGCATCAAAATCAATATAATTCGAAATCAAATAAGTGTTAAACAGTTATAAGGTTTAAAGCATGGCTTTACAACGATGGCAGGGCATTCTAGTTATAATTCATTCTAACCACCACAACAGCCTGGCCGCTTCACTGTAATCATTTCCCTGTGCATACACAGCGGCTCTGGATAAAATAATGCAGCCAGTCAAGCACTCAGCATTTTTTAAGAAATTTAACATGGAATGCCTCTATTGTCACCCACTTCAAAATGACACATCATGCATTTGGGATTTAATCTAATTATTTTATTTTGAGAAAAAATATGCACGAGAAGTGACAGTGTGTTTTGAAACAAGACAGTACTACATAAATTCTGCATGCAAACCCGTTTGGGTGTATGCATGCGATTTCTTACCTCGGTTCACTGTGAGCTCGCGCATACGGAGGTTACCAAATTCGAGCGCATAGTGACAAATCCGTTCGACCAGTCATAAAAATTATCGGACTCCAGTATAATATGAAGATATCCGTATTGATCACTGCTTTGAGGACTAAGTCAGTAAAGACTTAAGTGTGTTAGTCGAGGAAAAAAAAAAATCCAATTCAAAGCACAGCTGGTTTTGGGGGGGAATGTTGATTTAACAGCAATCAATCTGACAGACAATCTTTATGAACTTTCCCCCGCAGATCTGTGCGTTCGGAGGCGCGCGGAATGCGGTGGTCGGTGATGAATCAAGTGATCCACGCGCGCATTAACGGTCCCGCACGGTCATTCCGCATTACCAGAGGAGCCCTTATGAAATGTACCTGTTCTGCTCAAATATCAACATAAACTATCCCATCAGAGGAAAAGAGTCAAGTTCAAATGCGATCAGATCATTTCCCTCTCAGTCCTCAGTCAGAAAGAAAATCCAAGGCTTCTGTCCCGGTGTCTTGAGCGTGAATCGCCGCGCACACCTGAATGAGAAAAAGTCCAAACGGTGGGATGTGTTGGGATGCTTGTCCTCTCTCCTCTTCCCCAGACTGAATTTCTTGCAACAACTCTGAGTATGCCCACAGGGGAACGCCCCCTCGGCTGCTGATTGGCCCGTCTCTTCATGAACGTCGCAGAAAGGGGAGGGGGGATTGTGTGATTGGTTAGAATTAACGTCACTCAAGCGCGCTGTTGAGACGGAGCGAAATGCCTCAGAAAGACTCAGCGGGCTGCGGGATGAAGAGCTCCGATGTACGGTCTCATTTCACCTCATTAAGACTATTTAATGTATTTGTTTACAGCATTATGAAGTCAAATAATCCGTACACAAACTAAAATGTTTTGTCACTTGTGATTGACAGTTCTTTGGATTATTAGAGAGTGCAATATCCGTGTCAAACTGTATGAAAAAAGTATGTTAGACTGAAGCAAGATGGAAAGTGTACCGGCTACGTAAAGCTATATGCTTCGGTCATGTTACAGTATTTATTAGGTTGGTAGGAATATTAGCTACTCTAGGTTACTTTTTACTTTGGATGAATTGGATAGCCTGCAAAAACATCAGTTTATTTTAGGCTACTTGTTTTAATTAATCTACTTTTCTCGATATTGATGAACGTTAAACCACCATATGGCCTTTCTTGAACCACCTGACTGCCATCAGTACATTTTACACTTGTATTAACGAGATTTTAAAAGCTTGAATAGGTTGGTAGCCTATTAACATTGACAAACAGTTTTGCACTGTAAAAGATAGTGACCGAAATCCTCCCATAATGCTTTGTCACTGTAAATTCCTATTTTTAAAGTTTATGAAGATAAATCTTTTATTGAAAAATGTATTTAATTGTGAAATTCAACATTGTAATTATTTTTTCTTAGTGATTAAGTTTTTCTTTTAAGTAAGCACAGGGTTGAAATATGTAACAGTAACAAAAACGTTATGCACAGATCTAAAATCTTTTCATCTGTTCTATTTAAGATTGACTGAATAGAGATGAAACTCTCTGAAGAGAAATGGTCACTAAAGGAAAAACGGGGCATGTTGAGTTGAGTTGTGGTAAACAGCACCATCTAGAGGCGAACATGAGACACATGCGCTTATCTCTCATCTGATACACTGAGGGACGACACTCCTGTCGCGGTTTCAGGTGTGTGTGTGTGTGCGTGCGTGTGTGTGTCCAAAGCTTTGTTAGGTCAAAGAGGGGGGGACTGAAGAGCCAGCCTGGTTCTTGGAAATTATTATCAGCCCTTTTTTCCCCACTGACATAACAGATTACAAGGGAAAAAGTGGAGATACAGGAGTAAAAAAATATATTTTTGGCTGGCTGACAACCAGGGCCTATCTTTTCTCAAATTCATGAACCGTGACTAAATCTTTACTGCAGTTAGTAAAGAGACATACATAGGTGTCATAATCATTATGATTAAAATGTATACTCATTTCTTTTATCACAATTATATAAACCTAGGGTGAATTTAGAATAGTTTTACTATTTTTATTGGATTTTTGTCATGTTTCATGTCACTTTTAAATAAAAAAAGGAAATTTATTAAGAAATACTAAAAAACGTTACATGTTTTTCCCTCCTCTGATTGATTTTTTTTTTTAAACATTATTTTCCATTCTATCCAGTTCCTTTCATCATCATACAGGAAGTGACATCATTTTGGAGGGAAACCAACATGACAAAACATCAGTGAGTATTAGCAATGGATTTGCATTGTTGTGTTTTTAAAACATTGATAAACTTTCACAAATCATAACATACTTCAAGTTAACACTCTCATGTAAACTAACTTTCGAATTTTCAGTGGCCAACTTTCTTGCTATTGTATCAAAATAAGTCATTTAATTACAACTCAAGCATATTCATTTCTGAAGGTTACAGAGTTCAGTTTATTCAAGGGTGTATTGTGGCTTTGACCTTTTGGATTTAGTGATGCTATACCAGGCCAGAGAGTATAAGAAACAAGTGATTTCCATGGATATTAGATTAGCTATTAAGTTTTGCTTTTCCACTGCAATAAATTAAGAGTCCCATAAGAGCCGAGCTTTGATTTTCACATCGATATTTTCTGTTTTATTTTCTGAATTGCATTTTTGTCCTTGAATGAATAATGCACACAAGCTCATGTCTATGATGCTGGACTGTTGATAGGTTATGTAAAGGATTATTGCAGCCCTGACAACCTTTCAATTGTGTATTGAAGGAATTCTATTATAGCAGTAAGGCCATGAATTATGAAAGACGAAACATAAAATGTATTGATAAAACATCCTGCCCCATGTTGAGCCAATTTAACCAAAGATAAACTCATTGTTAAAGTGTAATTCTTTCATGGAATCCTCTATGATTACACATAAGCCCTAAGGTCAACTGAGAAAGCCACATATTGAACGATATTGACATATTTGAGCGGTTCCTTTGTGAACAGGTGAGTCACTTCCTTAAAGAGACTGAGCTTTCTGCTTCCTAAAAGCTTTACGATTCGGTGCATTTAGCTCAAGTGTTCTTCAGAGATCAAATGAAAATGGACCACATTGCCTTTTGTATCGCAAGAACTAATATGAAAACACCTTGTTGAACCTCCAGATGTCAGATATCATGGTCAACTTTCACAGTACCTCCACTTTGGACGAAAGTATTTCTTATAAACTGTTCAAACTTTTGATCATCAGTGTCTTTTTTATGCTTTTCTAAAGCGTCTTGTGATATGTACGAGTGATGCTCTTTGTGAAATATACTTTTGAAAACAATACTGATTCAAAAAATTAATTTTCTAGAATTATTTTTGGTTTCACTTTATTTTGATGGTCCCTTTAACACATTCTCTTAACTGTAAGTAACGTTGCACCTTAAGTCTACTAACTCTTATTAGTGTTAGTTGACTGTTAGGTTAGGGTTAGTGTTAATAGACTGGTTAGGGTTAGAATAAGTTGACATCTACTTGCAAAGTTACTTATAGTTAGTAGAATGTCTGCATCATAATAGACAGTCTACTAATTCTCTAATGAGAGTTAGTTGACATGTAGTTGCAAAGTTACTTATAGTTACCAGAATGTTCAAAAGGGACCATCAAAATAAAGTGTTACCTTATAGTCATAGAATGAATGATTGGTGGAAATTTTCAACTTTTTTATGAACATATACATCAAATCTAGTGAACCTAAATCTCCCAAAGATATACTGTAAGGCAAAACAAGTGCAAAAATCTGCCAATGAACCATGCAAAATTTACGTTCAAGATAAATTCTTTAAAAACAAGTATAGGCCAAATATATTATGCAGTTTTGCTTTTCAGGTGAGTTAATCTCGTTTCTTTAGATCTGTTTTACAGAAAACAAGGCCAGGATACTAGGAACATGACTTCTTTGCAGTGTGCTTTCAGTTTTCAATGTTTAAAGGTTTCCCACTTCTCCAAACATCTCATGATTCCATTTGCAAGACCCGGCGAATTTAAATACAGGCTTTCTGTGAACTCTGCAAAAAGAGCTAATCAAACCCGAAGCGACAAAGCTTGGCTTCTTAGATGCACGTCTGTCAACCAAGTACATTTACAGAAAGGCTTCAGAAATGCACAGTCACTGTAAGTCATTAAAATATGGAAGTGTAAAAAGATAACCAAAATAGAAGTGCGGCTCCTAACTGCAATAAATTGTAACACATCTAAGTGGCACTTAAAAGCGACCGAGTGATCCAGAAAAGAAAATCTTCTTTGAGTTTCATCCTGTTCTCCTTCTCTTACAGTTTGTGATTAATTTCAGCGCCACGTCTGCCGTTCACGAGACAGTGTGGATGTGAAGGTATTTGAGAAATCGTGTCTCGAACATGCATAAATAAACATTCACACTTGTGCGGTGATGTCTGTAGCTGTGGCTGCTCGGCTGTGGCCAGATGATGCTTCGGTCCAGCCTGGCCTATCTACCTCTCACTGAGTGTGTGTCTGTTGGGGGTGTGTGAGAAGCAGAGATAGGAAGAGAGAGAGAGAGAGGCGATCTCTGGGGTTCTGGACACTCCTGCTATCTTTAGGCACAATCTGGGCCGGTGCAGGATTGGACAGAGCGGGCCAGAGAGTGATAAATGTTCACCAGTGGCCCATGTGGCACTGCCAAGAGATGAGTTTACATCACAGTCTCATTACAACTCAGATACAAGGTTACTGGGACAACAAAGCAGCATCCAAAACAGAATGATGCCGTCCAAATTTAACTGAAGCGAGCATGATGGAATCCAAAGGAAGTTAGATCTGGCGAGAGCCTTAACCCCAATAGACGCTGAGAAGGACATGTTTCCTCCAATATTCAGATCAGTGCTCCACTGATAAAGGGTTTTTCCGTGGTTAAGTTTAAAACTATTACATTTGATTCCCTCCGTTGTTAAATTTTTGATTACATCCTTGAATCCATTACTGGAACGCTTTAGCGTTGTGATGTCAGGGCTGGTGTCTGCCGTTTGCTGGTGTTTTCTAGAAAGCGAGAGGTTGACAAAATCAAGCCTGTCGGATTAAAAGAGAGCTGTGAAATTATAATGATGGGACAGCTAAAAGTGTTGTTGACCTATAGATGAAAATGCTCTCATTATTTACTCATGGCATTCAAAACCTGTATGCCTTAATTTCTTCCATGTACTGTAGTCTTCCACGTCTTATGAGAGTTTATAATGACCATGGCAAAAATCCCCATAAAACGTAAAATGTTGTGTCTTTTAAATCCATATGATAACTTTATGTGTGGAACAGGAAAAAATTTGGTGCAACTCTAAAAACTCATCGTTATATAATACAATTTAATGTGGGGAGGGGACCCCAAAAAAAGCAAAAATTTATGCAAACACTACTGAAAAAAATTAAGAATTAAAGCAGCACTAGGTCACTTTTCAACCTTCATAATTTCCAAGTCTCTTGTGATGGTACATCGACTTACAATAGGTTGAATGACACGTCTGCCATAGCCTGACGGGGTCTGTAGCGTTTTTAATCTTACTTTTAAACTTCGGGTTTCGGGTAGTAACCGGCGAACAAAGAGCACTACAAAATTCGACTGCATTACG